TATAAATGATGTCATTATTTTTATTTTTCACTGGTTCCTAGTTACATGAATCTTATAGAATATTGTTTTCTGACACCATACAGTAAAAGTAAAGTGGCAAGAGATTGCTGACTTTTTCTTGCAACAAACTGATTTCCCAAGAATGACAGAAAGCACATTAAGATTGTGATGCTACCATACAGTGAAAAAAATGCACTTCAATTACAAAAAATGTTTATGTAGTACTACTTGCTGTAATTGATACGGATTACTGATTTACACATTTTGATGTGGGAAAGTATAGTAGCAGCAGTGATTCAAGCCTATTACAACACTAGTGAGTGCTTGAAGAACAGCTTATCATCAGCTCCATGGTCTACAAAATAAACCATAGCGTGGGGGAAAAAAAACTATTTACCCATTCACCTTTGTGGGGGAAGAGGACTTCTTAAATTTGTGAACATCTAATGCAACCCTATTTTCAGAGACCCCTGAGCTAGAGTAACAAATTTTCATCTACAGATTATGTCAGGCCTGCAGGATGGTGGAATACTCCTTCGACATCACTGCCAATATATGGAGAATACCGTTTTGAGGATGGTGTTCACAGATCTTAGAGTAAGCCCAAAGGACAACAGCTAAAGGTCCAAGATGTGGGTTACAGATCGGAGATCAAATGGCTGACTGCTTCCTCTCCCCATGGGATATATTTCCTGACAGGACAGAATTGTCTAATGTTTAGACAATTCATGTAATTTCAGCTTCTAGTTATTATAATGTAACATGTGTTCTTAAAAGTGTATGGCCCAGCTTTGGTGGAATAAAATTAAAATACCTATATTCAAAGCCTAATATCTCATTTGTGTCTCCATTGCATGCTATGGAAAAACTCAAGTGACGTCCTTGAACAGGTTTGGTCAATAACATCACCAAGGAGTGTTGGAGTGGTTTGGCAAATGTATACATGTCATAAGTAGCTGGAATTTAACATGTACAGAGCAGCAAGCAAAAAGGTCCTTCTTATGTAAGTGGACAACATCAATGGACAACCTACCTTTTTGCAACAAGGTAACTATTTATTTGTGTTTTATTAACTAAACTATGGTATAAGGGTCTATTATATATTTTCAAAAGGACAACACAAACACAAAAGTGAGGGTCTTAATGAGGGTCTGGTATGGGTAAGGATCCAACACAAAAACAAACAAAACAAAATGCAAGGCTCTATATGAACATACATACAAGACCATTTTCCTTTACAAATCTGTACCAGACCCTCATCAAAGGTAAGGGTCTGGTTGGATTTTCAGGGATATCCCAGGCAAAAATAAATACAGTAAAATGAGTAAGGTCCCCCTGAAAATCCATACTAGTCCCATATCCTTTATAAGGGCTGAGTATGGATTTTGAGTGGGAACCCAGGAAAAAATATGTGTTGCCCCCTCAAGATCCTCACCAGACCCTTATCCAGGTATGCCTGACTTGCAAAAAAAAAAATGGAAGGGACCCCCCTGGGAAGGCATTATGTCCCCATGTAAATGAGGAGAAGGGCCCATCCCCCCATATTGGGTTCTAGCCGTTTCTCTTTCACTGGCTGCATTGGATGGGTAATTCATACAATATACCTGGGTTATGAGCCACAAGTTTAAATATGCCCCAGGTTGGACTGCTTCATGCAAATATAATACTTTCAGTTCAGTGACTCATGGCATAGCTATTCACATTTTCATGTGTTGGGACATTTGCAGGTCTATCCATCATCCCTAGCATTTCTGACTTAGGAATCAACTTTTCTGTCTCCCTGAAGCAGTAAATTTACTAGCTGTAAGGAGCATGAACACTCCTACATATAAAATCTTTCAGTTATTTTGTTGTGTGAGTAGAGGAGGAGAAAAAAGTGCAGTGAAGCACTTGCTAGGCAGCCAGGTTAATGTTGCCATTTGTCCCCATTTTAGAGAGGCAGTCCCCATTTTGGGAAATCATTTAGTCACTAGGGATAAAGAACTAGGGACAAAACATTTTAGAACATTTCAGAGAGGTTATTAGCATACAATAAATTCAGGAAACGGCACAGGGTCCCCAAATATGCAAAATAGTTCTAGCCTTTACTAGCAGCAACATTCAATACAGAATAAGGGTCTAAAACCCAAGACCCGCTATGTGTATTGGTAGACTGTTAAACACATTTGTGCGTGCGTGCGTACATAGCTGGGGGTGGGGGGGCCTCGAAAATTTTTTGAGGTGGTTTATATGCTTGGGTGTAACTTTAATAAAAAAAAAAGACAACTTTTTTATTTTTTTATCACAAAAAGTCCTCTATGTGATGATTTTTGGTGACAGATTCTCTTTATTGAGACATCCAAGGTCTAAAAGACCCTGCATATCTCCCCTGTACTACAATGGATGCAATGCAGTGCACATCGCATTGCATTACATTCTTTCCTGGCCTTGATGGCCGGGAAATATATGTCAACAGGGACCCAGAAGTGACATCATATCACTTCCGGGTCAGGACAAGAAAGGGAGTGGAGCAGATGTGTCCACTCTCCTCCCTCTCCTCTAGACAATGGCACCCACTAAACTAGTCCCGGGCTCTGCTTGCCCATCTGCATACACATAGCGAGTGGGGGGGCAGAGGCTGGCAATATAGTGGGCGGTGTGGAAGCAATCGGGCGGGCGGCAGAGCTCTGCTGGTTGTCCGCAGCAGGGCTAAAAGTTGAAAAAAACTTCTTGCCCGGCACCCAGTCATGGGCAATGGGCAATATGAATTGAACATCCCTGTATTTAGATCCTCCCCTAGCATGCACAACTCCTAGCAATTGGCCAAAGGGACATGAATATTCAGAACTCAGTAATATTATCGACACTTTCCAGAAAGAGGCAGAAGCCAACAATATCCTAAACTTAGGGAAAACCTAACAAATACAGAAACAACAATTAGACCTCAGACTCACTACAGTCCAGCTTCAACAAAAAAATTGTACTAGGGGCAAAATTTCTTAGGGCAGGTTCCCTACACAAATTGTGTTGATCTAATTAAAATATAGGTTTCATGTGAATATAGAATGTTCTGTAGCCTGCAGCATATTATGCTAATAATAATGGGGTGTTCTTTTGGAAATAGTTTGGCTAGTCACAGCAGGACCCATGTCACTGGTTACTGGACTTTCACCGCTCAGCCCAGAGTCCTACACCCGCCCAGAATGATAGACAGGAAACATTGTCAGCTGCAAGAATATATCTTTCGAGACACACTGAGTGTTTTGTCTCAATGTCATAATCGCTCATCAGGGCTACCTATAGGGCTACAGGCAGTGTACATTTTCTCAACAGTTACTGATTGTTAAGAAGTCCCTTAATATTTTAATGAAGGTAGGCTCAGAGAAAGTGTTAGCTCTATATTTTGTGTGCAGAAAAGCATATAAAAAGGATTTTCAGTTTTAAAAAATTATTGTGCTTAGATTTCTGTGAGACTCTCACTTGTGGAACAGTAACTATACCATATTTATACCTGGACTGTGGTATACATTATGTGCATTGTGTACACAGTGAATAGGTCCAAGCTCTATTTAACAATGCTTCTTTAAACCCCCCCCCCCCCCAACCCTTGTCAGTGCAATGTGGCCACAGCCATTATTTACCATATTGCACTACACAAATTGCATCAGTGTTCCACTTACAGTGTCCCGATGTGCCCTAGATCAACACCCTGGCTTATGGCTTTATATATACACAGGCAGTCTGACCAGCAGAGCTGTGCTACATTTATCTTTCTTGATACTGTAGGAATCTTCTGCCCTTGACTATCAGTATTTGTTGCTGTTGATATAGTATGTATGCACTTCCTGTTGGGTTGAACCACAGAAGGTGGAAGTGGAAAGAGAGAGAAAGCCTGAGACCACATGTCTTGTTTGTAGAAAAGCTGCCGCCAAGTTCAGACTAGAAAGGATTAATAGGCAAGTGCTCCTATGTTTAATAGTTTACTATTGTTGTCCATAGCTTTTGGGTATAATAGCTATCTATCTATCTATCTATCTATCTATCTATCTATCTATCTATCTATCTATCTATCGACTGGTGACAGAAGTATATCTGTCTCCTTGTTGTTAACTGACATGCACTATGCCAGATAATTAAAGTGTTACTAAACCCACAACAGTAAAATCAGTCTGTATATGCAGTAAAGCATGCTTGTTATACTCACTGTGGAACTTAAGGGGTTAATACTCTGCATTGTGTAAAAAGGCTGTTTGATCCCTACTTCTCTGATCCTTCCCTTCTTCCAGTGTTCCCCTCTCTTCTCCTGCTAAGACATACTGTGGAGACACTCTGCACATGCTCAGTTTGTGGTGTACTGCTAGAGAGGTTTTTTTTTTCTCTTTGGAAAGTGAATGTGATCAGCACGGGGATAATCAGCACAGTCCAGACAGAGGTCAGGCGTCCTGCATCCTACTACATCAGAATTAAAACTCCTCCTACAAGCTTTAGCCTCCCTAGCGGTCTGATTATGTCCATATTTCTGTGCTCAAAGCGGTACTTTTTTTGCATGGAAATATGTATTTTTTTTATTGTAGGCCTGTAATTTTTAGGAATAACTAACTGAAATCTGCCCGAACAAGAGTCTAGTAAACATCTCGGGTATGTTACAATTTGCAACACGAAATCATAAATTATAATTTAATAAATAATCATAAAAAATAATAATATAATACTAATAAATTTAATTCAATAATGTGATAAAACCAAAAACACACTGAAATGTGAAATATAGCGCCAAGTTCGCACATCACTGAGCAAAGTCACAAAATCGTTTTCAGTGTCTGATGACGAATTTCCCCACAAATCATTATCACTCAATTCTGCAAGTAGTTCTAATTTACTATCGCTGTTCTCTAGCTGGTCTAAAACCGATTTTGACCTAAAGGGCCGCTTTTTTTGGACGTAATGGATGTTTCTCAGTTTCCAGGCAGAAAGAACAGTAAAAATGCAGGCAGGACACAGGACAAAGCACTCGGGACAAAATGTATGTGAAATGGTTTGATACAGTAATGTTATACTATGTGATTTTAGTGTATTTAGTGAATGTCACTTTTTGTCATTTTCAAATTTCCCGCCATTCCGTCCCCGTACGTCCCGACGCTCGCAGGGGACGGAACCCAGAGGACAGATGCCAGCATCCGCTGGAGGACATTACATGTGACGCTGCAGGAGGGACATCGCGGGAGCGCAGGACAAGGTAAGAGAACAACAGATCTGCGCTGCATGGTAAGCCCGAGTGTAGCTCGGGGTTACTGCTTGTGGTGCTGAAACTTTACCCCGAGCTACACTCGGGAATACCGCCAGGGGGGTTAATATGTGCTCTGCTGGACACTGATAGAAGTCACAAGACTGCTCTAACTGCTGATAAGAAAAGGTATTTATCAGTTTATATTTACTAAAATAATTGCACTTCCATGTTGTGTGTACTGTGGGAGATCAGATATAGTGAATGCAGGGTCCTGGGTTTAGTAAAACTTTAAGTCTGTGATATGGTGTACGTGTGTAGTGATATATTAATAGGTGAACCTGTTTATTGAAATAGAGTTTATATGCAACTCTTGTGATTTTAGTTAACTCTGTCCCTTCTGGTCTGGGATTCTATAGCAAGTTTTAGGTTAGTGTTCAATAACCAGCATAGGCTATAGTCAGGTTAGGCATCCAGCGACCACTTTTGGTAATTAGAGTTCAGTTGCATATCAGATTTGAAAGTATTAGGTAATAAGACGCAGAGTAGATAAGCTGCCTCTGAGTTCCAGTGCCACACCACAGTTTAGAATGATGAGAATCTGCATTCCAGACTGCTTGGACAACGACTGGAGGATCTCCCCATCACCAGAGATCTTGTCTTCAGATACACAAAGACGGATGTTGCATTGTGATCATACCCAGGGGCCCTGCAACTAAACTTTGCTGCAACATTCATCTAGAGGTATCCTTATTAATAATTATATATACCCAGGTATATGAGCACAATTCCATCAGGACTCTTGTTGGTTCCTTTTGGATGCATTGGATGTACAGTCAGGTCCATAAATACAGTATGTGCTATTAATAATCTTTTTTTTTATTAAATGTTTGAATTATTTCCATACTGGTGTGCACCTATATACTTATGGTTAATGTTATATGCTGTTTGCACTAGTTCCTGTGATCCCAATTACTTTATTCAGATTACTGGTTAATTTCCCAGGAAATGAATTCACTTTATTCACAGAAGCCCTGTACTGTGTGGAGGCTCTGCCAACTTTATTATCAAACCCACTCTTCCACTTTGGGAACATTCTGGTTCTGGTTCTCTTGTTTAGCGCAATATCCTGTTCCGAAAAGGCCATTTCCCCTAACCCCCACTTCAAAAGAGGGCTACAAAAACTTCAAGGCATCCCTCCTAACTGTGCATGTATATCTTAGTGCATATTATTTGAAATCTTTTTATTTTGTCTTTATACCTTAATTTCCTGCCTCTTGTTCCAAAAGTCTTTGACCAATTATTTGAAGGTATGTTATAAAATGTCTTCAACAGACAGATCACAGAACTATATACTTAGAGGGGAACACTATTTTAGGATAAACCTAATTTGGATAGACAGGTCTGGCCTAAAAAATGCCTAAGGTACCAACAGTTGTAAAGGATAGGCACCTATGCTGGTCATCAAATCTTTCAATGTGCCTTATGAAGCCTCATGGATCAACAAGGCTGTGTTTGACAGCTTTGATTTTTCTCCCATTCAAAATTCAACCCTTTCCCACCCCCCCATCATTTAATTGCAAAGTTTCAGAGTATTTCCTGCCCATTGATGCACTAGCATTTAATACTTGGCCGCCTGAGGATTTACTCCCCTTCCTGACCAGGCCATTTTTTGCTTTATGGCGCTGCATTACTTTAACTGACAATTGCATGGTCATGCAAAGCTGCACCCAAATGAAATTTACGTCCTTTTTTTCCCCACGAATTGAGCTTTCTTTTGATTGTATTTGATCGCCTGTGTGTTTTTTATTTTTTGCGCTATAAAAAAAAAGAACAACAATTTTGAGAAAAAAAACAGTATTTTTGACTTTTTACTTTTAAACATGTCCAGTAAAAAAAAAAAAAAAAAAAAATCACATTTCATCATAAATTTAGGCCAAAATGTATTCCGCTACATGTCTTTGCTAAAAAAAATCCCAATACGTGTAAATTAATTGGTTAAAGTGAAAGTTATAGCGCTTACAAATGGCGGTATAGATACTGGAATTTTTTTTTTTATACTAATAATGGCGGCGATCCGCGACTTATAGAGGGACTGCGGGACTACGGTGGGCATTCTGACACTGGGGGAACTGACTTGCTGTCACTGACATCCCCAGTGACACAAATACAGTGATCAGTGGTAAAAAAAAAAGCACTTACACTGTACTAATGGCACTGGGGAGGAAGGGGTTATCTACGTGATCTACGTATATTGCAAGGATTTTAACAAAATTTGTTGCAGATTCCTACCTTTTGTTTTTCTGAAGAAATAGCTGTTTGTCTGTGTCCATGTGCAGAGTGAATCTGTATCGGAGTGATTTTTATGATTAACAATCAGCTGCTGCATCTGCAGGGCTCTAATGAGGAATGTCAAGGTCTGCATCCCTTTAGATGTGATTTCCCTTTGGCAATATCTCTGTCAGGAATCTGGGTATGACCAGAAATGTGTGGACTGACACAGGGAAACGCAGGCTTCCGGTATAGTATAAACAGTACAATTTATTAAAGACTAACAATACATAAACGCAGTGCAAAACATAACACAGTGCAACAAACCAAACCTCCAACAAACAACCATACATACAACACTAAACGTAGTCGGGCAGCAAACACAAGGTACCAGGAGCAGGTGGGAGAGTGGTCAGGACTAGCCGAGGTCAGTACAGGCAGAGTTCATGCAGAATCAGGATAGAAGCAAGCAGGATCAGGATACCGGGGCCAAGCGAAACAGTACAACAAGACTGCAGGTCTGGCCATTCCTTAAATACACCTCCTGCAATCAGCTTCAGGTGATGGCTGATTGCAGGAGTGAGCTTCTGGTTGCTGAGAGCACCCGCTGGCTAGCCCAGGTACTGCAGCCCACAAGGCAGGTGAGTGCCACCGCCATTGGCGAGTCCATTCCTGACAATCTCACCAAAAATTTAATTTTGTTGCAGGGGATACCAAAAATGTGACTTGTATCTTAGTGCAGACTTCTGAGAAAATCAGTGAGCCAATCATTCAAGCATTAAATTACATTTTCAGGGGGCGTTCTGTACACCATCTGTATGCAGAACACCTCTAGGTTGCTATATTGCATTGCATCTTACAAAAAATTAATAGTGATACAGACTGAAAAGGAAAGGTAATTCTTAATACCATTCAATTACATTATGACTTGAGTCACAATTGTATATGCTATATTGTTTTTTTTTTTTTTGCTCATTTTGTACCACAAAAGTGGAGTGACCCTTTAAGCTGGGCATGGATGGATCAAAATTTGGACAGTTCCAGGAAAGACTTTTATATCAACTGTTGAAAAGGGAATGTTCTAAACATTTGTCAACCAGTGGCTGCAGCTGCTGATCAGTGCATTCTGGCAGCAGAGAGTCCCACTGTCAAAATGCAATGTATCACTGAGGGAGGGGGAATTCTTCCAACCACTTGACTTATGTGGATAGAAGAATATTTTTGATTTTTTCCATTCAGCCTCCTGGCTGATTAAGAAAAAAAAAATTATAGTCAGCTTTAGCAATTAGCCAAACAGGGTGCTTTTTAGGTATGGATAGAGAAGGAAGACCTAAAGTTACAGTCAGGTTTTTATTTCTGTTACCCCATTGGAAAGATTGCAGGACGGTTCACTGTCCTTATTTCCATGATATAGGGGCTACTGTTAACTTTGCTATTATGACTGCATTACAGATATCACCTAGAATTTGATTGTTCAGTATGTCAGGTATTTTTATGCAACATCTCCACATGATAAAATACATTTTACAACAAAATGAAGTATTTAAAAAAAGAATTGTGTAACAAGTGTTAACATAGATGATACAAAATATTTTTTTTTTATTATTATTAAAAGCAAATAAAATTAACTACATTACAGCAAAAAAAAATGTATCAAAACACACCATAGTTTTGGTGCAGAGATCTGAAAGCGTACAAGTTGCTGTCAGACCTGTAAACAGTAAAGCATTGCTTATAGCTAGCTAACACATCTTGAAAAGTAAGTAAAGAGCTTGATAAATATCCCCCTTGTGTAAAGTACATTTAAATTGTCATTATAATGCCAAGAATAAATCTTTAATTATCAAAAAGTGATCTTTAACAAAAAAATGTCACTAATATGTGTTTAATGTTTTTCTATCCCAGAGGTAACTGAATTATTTTCTGAAACAGTGTGTATCAATTTAAAGTCAATTAAAGTACAATAGGATCTAACCCAACAATCTGCAGTTTGTTATATCTCTAGATGTCATTCTTGAAAGAATACACACAACACAGGCAAAATCATTTCCCCAATTTGGGAACAGTTATGCCAGATGTGCAATTGTTCTTGCCAATGATTTGTTACTCTTGGAAATTCCTAATTGTGTCAAATTTGCATGATAAATGTTATAGTGCTACAGTGTTTATGATGCTTATTAATATTAATTAAAAGTAGCTTAAAACTGAACTATAAAAATAGGTTTTGTGGAATAGTGGTTCCAACGCACAGGGGTTCTCATGTGTTGGGAACATTGTCCTAATTGGCAGCATTTCGGAGACTGCGCATGCTGTGTCCTAGTTCTGGAAATAAAACTAATAGTAAACTGTTCACAAACATAAATTCAAAATGAGCATATGACGGAAACAGGCATAGAGGTTACATCCAGTCACAACAGTCAATAGATCCAGATAATTAGGAAGCTGTTCATACATGCAAATCTCTTTTGGAGAAAGAGTTGAGTTTACCTCTTTTAGTCAATAAATTTGTCCTTCAAATAAAAGAATAGAAAGGGATTCAATAAAAGTTGCAGTGTAGATTTTAAGTCTCACCTGCCATGAGAAACATTGCTGGCCTTCTTTTGGAAATACTGGCTTTATGGGCATACAGAGGATAGAAAAAGTCTACACACCCCTGTTAAAATGTCAGGTTTCTGCGATGTAAAAAAATGAGTCAAAGATAAATCATTTCAGAACGTTTTCCACCTTTAATGTAGGTGGAATGTGACCTATAAACTGTACAACTCAATTGAAAAACAAACAGAATTTTTTTTTTTTGGGGGGGGGGGGGGAATAAACATAAAAAAAACAAAAATAATGTGGTTGCATAAGTGTG